CAAGTTCTGACTACAATATACTAGTTGGGTTATATACTACATAAACTTCCTTTAATTTTTTTTTTTATCAAAAAGAAAAAAAATATTGAGAGAAGTTACCCTTATTTTGGTCCCATTAATTTTATTTATATATTGATCTTCCACAAAGGTAAACTTCTTTATTTATTTGTTGTCAAAGAGATTTATTTATTTATTTTATTCTAAATATTCATAATCATATATGATGTAAATGGCAGATATAAATACATACTTATCCATGAATGCCTTAAAATAAAATAAAAAGAAGCAGGTAAAGTGAGCCGCACTTCCTTGCACCCAAATTCGAATCTTCTTCTCTGTAAACTAAAGTAATTTAGACTATCGATTTAAAAAAAAAGAAAAAAAGAAAAGAAAAGAGAAGAACTAGAATAAAGAAGACACACAACACAACCTAATTTTGGCCTTTGGTAGCTTTCATTTAAGTCCCTACTTAATACTCCCATTAACTGATGCAGCTTACGATTTATTACAAGACCAAAATGCCAGTTCTTAAAAAGAATTATTTCCTTATTGAATACTGAATGTTCGGTGAGAAGCATATAAATCCTTTTGTAGAAGATAAAGTCTTGCTCCTGCCATAGAGTAGTTATACTTACAACTACCCAATATTTGCATATCACACCTCTTATATATGTGTATGCTGAATTCATAGTCAAGTAGTTAAGATCATTTAGCTTGTTGGATTCACTACAAATTTTACTTTAATAATACGTACGAATCGTCTAGTCTATTTTAAGTCTTCATTTAAATATCAGCCTTATAAAAATTAGATAAATTAAAAACCAATAAGACACCTAGTTGTGTTTAACAAAAATATATAAACACGGTGTTTTAAAAAAAAACTCAAAAATGATAATCATTTAATTGAGTGGTTAAATGACAATTTTAGATTCAAGTGAATTTTCGCATAGATGGTCTTTAAGGTAATACCTAAAAAGTAGATGGTTGGATCATTGAAATGAAATATGAGGGATCCAACCTATCTCTTTTTTAAGTCTTCATTTATAGATCATCCTTGAAAAAAATTGACAAATCATAAATCATTAAGACATTTAGTTGCGATGAAATAAATAGACAAACACAGTTTCTTTCACAGGCTCTCTCTTCCTCTCTCTTTCTCGTCTCCCTCCTCACCAATGAAGATCCGGCCACTCTAGAAGCTGGAGAGAGAGAGAGAGAGAGAGAGAGAGAGAGAGAGAGAGAGGGCAACGCTGGCTGTGGTAGACTCGCGGATGTTGACGTGTCGGCCATAGGGCTGTGCCGGATATTTGAGTCATTTTGACTTCTTCGTTTTTTTAATATATTTTTTTGTTAAAAAAATTTGTTGGGTGTTCTTAAACGTTAAATATAAAAACTCTAGAGATAAACCATGCATAAATAAGGCAACCTCTTTTATGCGTTTAAGAAAATGTTGTAAATAGCTAGTATAGGCCAAGGTACAACTTAGTTGGTTGAGTTTTTCCACTTTCATTTTGGGTAAACGTTTAGGCATCCAATAAATATTTGCATAAACTCCCTCCTCCAATCACTTGTACTGAAAAAAAATTGTAAATAAAAGTCATAACAGATTCATCAAATTTTTCATGTAAATGGAGGTTAATATGTATCGGCATAATTAAGGTCACGTTTATATTATTTTAAAAGGTAGGACTAACTGCCAAGGGGCATTCTTATCAATATCTTATTGAGAATCTAAGGAGTTTATGACTATATTTATTTTTCAGAAATACCTTTGTGAACCAAGCCCAAGTGCAAGGAGGATGATTGAGGGTTCACAGAATCACTGTTCAGGTGCCATAAACAGTCTTGAAAAGTACATGCGAGTTCTTTCAATTCAATTATTTACTTTCATTTGTCTTTCTCACCCGAAGAGATATTGATGTACGAAGAAAATAACCATTGGGAAAATAATCTACCTACGTTAAACGACCCTTTTAATGAACGATATACATATTTTTTCAAATGGTGATAGTCTAAGCAACGTTAATTTACGAAGTAGAGAATTCGAACATTGGTGTAAGATTGCAGACACAATATGTGTCAAAATAGCTTATAACACTAAGGGCCTGTTTGAGAGTGCTTTTGGAAAGGCAAAAAGCGATTTCTGATAACTAAAAGCGCTTTTGATAGCGTTTGGCAGAAAAGTTTAGAAGCGCTATTGGGTCATAGAAGCGCTTCCTGGAGAAGCACTTTAATTTTTTATGAAAATTCTAAATTTTTATAATAAAAGCGCTTTTGTTAAAAGCAATTATGAGCATAAGTACTTCCTAGAGAAGTAGTCCCAAAGGAGCCCTAAGTCATTATGTGCTTTTTACCCTATTAATTTATATTCTACTATTTTGACAAGTTTGAATTTATAAAGATATATAATTCAAGTATTCAAAGAAACTTTTTGACTTGTGGTTACACTGGGGACCAGCTTAATGGTAAAAAAGTTGCTATGTCTCTGTTTATACCTGATGAGAATGGGAATGGGATTCATTCTTACTAGTTCTTTTGCCACTGGTGGTAGGGTGTAGTGAGTAATCTTGGTGGGTGGGGAAAGTAGATAAATGAGAACAGAAGCTCCCACTTACATGAAGCTTTCCAGAGATGTACAATAAAGCTCGAACCTACCGTCAATTGCAAAAGTGTTCAAATCCATGGAACTTGTTGCTATTAATTATGGGCTCACGCAAAATCATCTATCTTTGATCAAAACGTGAGCTTGACTTATAAAACAATACAAAATAAAATAAAATGAAACATCACCTACTTCCTCCTCATGCTTACCTATGAACAAGTTGTTTCAACTTTCATGCTCATCTACGACTCAACTTTGAGACAAAAAGCCTCATAAATAATATGTGACGTTGAAGTTGAAGCAAGTTATGTTTTAATTTCACCAAATATAACATCCAACACCACATAGGAATTGAATTCGAAGCTTCATGTGAAAGAAAATTTCGATTTCGATTTCGTATACTTGGTATAACTTGAGGCCAAATTAAAATTTCACAAATATTTTTTTATTTTCTTCTCTTCGTTTCCAACTGTTTTATTTAATTTTTTCAAACAAAAATCAACACAGTGATATGTTTTTCTTATTTATTGTACATGACCCTTTTTTTAAATGTATATATTGTCCCTCTGTGCAAGCAACTTCCAGTCAAACATAAATACAATGAGATAATATGATTTAGATGGGACACCTCAATGCACCCCACTTATTCATTGCATTCAAATTGAGTAATTGACCATGCTAAGCCCAATTAAACTCAGCAAATGACATTGACACCTCCCCTTTCTCCATAATCATTGAAAACAATTTAAAAGAAGTATATGTTTGGTTTTTTGTTTTATTTATACAAGCGATATTCTACGTTAATCTAATCTAAACTATGGGAGGGAGATTCGAAATCAGATGCAGATTCAGTAGCACATCAGCTATAAACCAACTTGGCTAAGTTCATGTACGCACAAGAAGTATATGTTTGAATATTTAATTAGTATATATATCTTAATTTGAGATTAGGGTTGTTTGTGTCACGGACAATGATTTAGATGCCCTCTATTGTAGGGTACTCCTGACTTTAGAAACTCTAAATATGTCTATTGCTAAGCTTGGACACTCAGCTAACTTAAAAAGGAAAAACCCTATTTAATCAGTTTCCTTTCTCTTTCGAAAATCAATGAAGGAAAGCTTAGAGACACGGGAACACTGTGTAAAATTTATTAGTACTAACAGATTTGATAACAACATAATTTCTCTGGAAGGCATTGTTGGGCAACGAAAGGACATACCTGACAATGCATATCTAGCTAGCTAATTGCGAGACTTGCAATTTAGACAATCTAATGTAATTTTATCTTCTTCTTTTTTTTTCTTCTTTTTTTTTACTATTTTACAAAAGAAGAAAAAAAGGAACAAATTGTTAAGGCATGCTAACTCAGCACGTAAATTATGGGAGTTTTTTTAATTATTTTTGCAGGGGTCAATAGTATGATAATGAAAATGCTGGAAAAACACAGGGTCAATGCATGGCTTGTCATTTAATTTTCTGTATCCTGCAATGTAATTTCTGGATGTGAAGAATTAATGGACTGGTGTTTTTTAGTGTTTAATTAAATTTGAGGGTGCTGGTAGGATATAATTTTAAATTAGGGTTTAGCTGTTACACTTCAATTTTCCAAGGAATCCATTTAAGTCTTTGGTGTGTACGTTGCTTGTGTTTTTTTTTAAAAAAAATTGCAAGCTAGATGGGGTTTCAGAGAGTTCTTGAATTATTTTAATACTGGAGGCGGGGAGGGTTTAGCTTTAAAGCCGTTGGGTTTTTCCTGTGCTGTATTTTGATATTAAACACCGACTAGCCTAAGCAATGAATGAAGGCAATGCCTTCCCCTGCACTTTGTAATTGCAATATTTACTGCAAATTTCCATTTCCTGCATTCTTATTGGGATCTTTTCCAACAATTAATACATTTCCTGGCCTCAATTTACACTCTTCTTCTACCCAAAACTTGAATTCAATTCAATTCCTATCACTCTCTCTCTTTCTCTCTCTTTCTCTCTCTCATCCTACACCCTCCACCTCTCCCCCATAATTAAATTAAGCATTAAAGAAAATCCATCTTCCTCTCCCTTCCCTTTGTATATATAATGGTGTTTTGAGGTCCTTACCACCTCACCATGACCATGTTTTTGTTGCCTCATATTTTCATGGTTTGAGGCCCTAACCCTTTTTTCTTCTCTCTTCAAACCCCACAATCCAATTAGATTCGGAGCCCCCTCCAGCATCCTCTCTTAGCCACAACTCCCTCAACCCTAAGGTATAATTTTATGTAAACACACCCCTTTTTTTCATTTAAATTTTAGTCCCTATGCAATTTCATGTTATATTTGTTGCTAATTCAACATGTTTTAACTTTGTTGGTGTTTGTTTTCATTAGAGAGCCGGAAATTTTTCTTCAAGCCAAAAGCCATGAGTAGGAGGAATGGAAGTGGTCCAAAGCTTGATCTGAAGCTGAACCTGTCACCACCAAGGGCAAGTAATAATAATCCACTGGTGCAGTCACCAAGAAGATCAGCTACTGTTTCACCAACATCACCACCAAGCTCATGTGTTTCCTCTGAGCTCAATCAGGAAGACAATTTCAGATACTCAAACAGCCCTGAGGCCGAGGCCACTTCCATGGTGCTTGTGGGTTGCCCAAGGTGCCTCATGTATGTGATGCTTTCAGAAGATGACCCAAAATGCCCCAAATGCAAGAGCACTGTTTTGCTTGACTTTGTTCATGACAACAACTACAACAACAACCCAACAACAACCATGAAGACAAGGAGGAGCTAAAAGAGCTATAAAAAAAAAATAGCTAAAAGGAGCTCAGGGCTAGAGTAGTTTATCCCCTTTTTTTTGGGTTTCTGCAATTTTTACTAGGACTTAATGTTAGGCTCTTTCTATTTTCAACCCTTTTCTTCCTTTATGGGGGTAGCGCTATTGGCGCTCCATTTTCAGCTGCATTTCCACTATTTGGGTGGAAAAAGATTTGATTCAAACAAGGCTTAATTCAACTTGAGTTGGGTTGGGCCTTGATTTGTTCAGCTTCGCCAGACACGCAATCAACGGAACTTTGATAGCGTGTTTGGAAAAAAAGTGGAGCGCGCATAACACTACCTATTTGTTTCTGTTTTTTCATTTTTCACCTCGCTAATCATAGAAATTAGGTCATGGATGATGGGCAAGCGGGCATGCAACATGGGGCTTGGTAGGGTTGGCTGTGTTTGTTTTTCTAGCTATGTGTTTGTTTCTGCTTTTGTTAACCCTTTAGCAGAGGACAATGTAAACCGGTTTTAACTATAACTGCCGAAATTTTCATATGAAAAAAATGTTAGGTCATATTTTGTCTTTACGTTTTCCTTTTTCGTTGATTGACTTTTATGTGTTGTTACTATACCCACTCACAGCTTTGCTACATCAGAGATTGCCAGGTAGTTGCATTGAGTTTTATCTGACGCATAAAACAAAAAGATGGATAAAAACCTCAGAGTATATTTTCTGTTTTTCTTTTTTCTTGTTGAAAAAGTGCATCTTGTTTGAAACTCGAAAGCAAAAATTCTGCTTAAGAGCTTCAGAGACTAGGTTTTCAGGTAAAACGGTACCACCTTTGGGGGCCCACTAGGTCCATATACACTTTGCTGAACTTTTGTTTAAATTACATGGGCAATTTCAATATGGAACCTTAACCCAAACATATGACATGAGTCTTGTCAAACCAAATAAGAAAATCTTCACAATAGTGGTAGAGTACTTGTCTCCGCATCCGACGAATTCGACTCTCGGTTTTCTCTTTCCAAACCAAATATAAAATGCAAATATCAAAACTACCATACAAAAGTAAGCATCCAAACCAGAATTTGTTAGTTGGTTAATTTCTAATTGTCTTCCTCACCATGACTTGGGTAACTGACAAGAATGTGTGTGTGGCTCATTTGTCCATATTAGGTGCTGCAGCATCTATATAACACTTGACTATTTTTACCAAATAATTCATCTGTTTTCTAACAGATTCTTATATATAATGGTCAAAATGAATTTATTTAGGATTACGTAAAGGATAATTATGTAAATTAAATTGTGGGATGGTTTGGGTAGTTCGAGCATTGAAAAAAAAAGAAGACTATATTATTAGATTGACAGACCATTAAAAACACATAAATGCAAGAGTAATTGAGACAGTTGAGCATAAAGAGGGGTATTACGTCAGATAATAAATACAAATTTAATTCCACCTATTCACTCCCTTCTATTTTCTTCTTCTTTTTTTTTCTCAAAATATTAAAATTTTCTTGTTTTCCATTGTTTCTGTTTTGGTAAGTTGGTGTTCTCTTGTCTTGTCCCTATCCTTCTTTTTAACTTCCTTTTCTTCTTCCATACGTTCCAATAACTTTTTGGCATAAGACCCTCTTAACTCATAGTCTCATGCTGATGCACTAACATTTCACTGGTTTAAAATTTAGCATTTATGGTATATGAAATACAAATAGTCGATACAGTTACAGCATGACATGTTATGTTGTCATATTATGAATTTGAATAAAGCTTATCTGAAGTCTTAGGGTTACAACCCTTTTAATTTGGTGCTCTGCTCGATCGTCGATCATGTAGCAGAACACAAACCATCTAAATTTGATGCAGACCAGCAGTCGGTTATGATCTCCTATTGATAAAAATGTCTCAAACGAGAAAAGGGTGTGGCACCAAAACATGAAAGAAAGGGTCCACAGGCCACAACACATGAGGTAGAGCTTAATTAAATTAATGACATACCTAAGCATCATTTATATTGGTATACAATCCTCACAGCAGACAATACTAAAAGAGCACGGTTCCTTCATTTAGCCTTCTTTTTAGACCTTGAAGCCTAACATGGGCACTTCAATTCAAACTTTGGTTGTAATTTGTCAAAGTCAAACCAAGAAAAGAATCTATGTTTTTTTTTTTGGGCTCTGTTTTATGATTTATACAAGGAAATAAAATAGTTAATTTGCACAGCTTCGTGTATGGGAAAAATTAAACAGTACATAGAAATTGATTTCTGTAGGCCATTGCCTGAGTTGGCATCATCAGCATCTAGAATAGCTACAGAGGCAGGGCTGGCTGCGGGAGGACATAATTTTGTATGGTAAGCATCAACCATGAATGCAATTTAATTTTGGGGCCAAATCATGAAGCACAAGGCTGTAACTGTATCAATAGAAACTATGAAGTAAAATTAGAAAGAGTCCTGTAAGTGTGTGGGCAAGAACTTGAACGCATCCACAGGAAGATCGATGTACGAAGCAACAAGGAAAGGTCAAAATTGTTTTCAATTTGCTGATGCTAGGATGCTCAAAGCTTTCTGCAGACAGTACACAAGGAAAGGAACAGAGAGAGATGCAAATAGTTGTTGGTTTTTTTTAACGAGAGGAGGAGGAGATTCAAACTTGGACCTCGAAAGAGAGTAGCTGGTATTTTTACCTATTAATATTTGTACCCTTATTATCCATATTAATAATTCAGGTATTTGCTTTCAGAAATGTGTAATGTTTTCTAATATATCATCATCGTAGAGTCATTCTATAATAAGGGCCTTAAATGAGGTCATATCTCTTAATCGTTTGATCAAACTAACCAATTTAATTCAACGATTAAAAAATAGGGTCTCATTCCTCACTATAAAATTCTTGCTATCATCATACATCCAAGTTTTTGTTGAGCCAATTTGACCCAATGAGTTTGAAAATAATTTGGACCATCGTCAAGGTCTGAAGAACAAGCTTAATTCCAGAAGGCCTAGGTCAACCCAAACCCTGCCAAGCCCATTGTGAAGACACCTCAGGCAGTGTGCATGATCAACGTTCAAAACAAACATCAATAAACCATAGACAATGTTTGAGGAAGAAAAGCGAGTTCCTAATTTAGATATTTAGTTATATACCCAGTTTTAGTATTAGTGATATAGATAAATTTTACATAATTTAATTTTTATAAACAAACCCAAAAAAAAGACAACTATCCTATTGAATTTAATTATTATTATTATTTTTTTGATTAAATTACTTTGATGCCCTGTTGAGTGTTTTGGGTTTTTCATAAGGTTTTGGGGTTGGACTTATTTTAAGCAATCGATGGTAATTTTATAATTTATAGGAAGTTCGGAAGCCCCTTTGTTATGTTGTAAATAGGTTTTAGGTGTGTTTCTAAAGTCTATTTCATGTAGGTTTTTTTAATTTATAATTTGGGTCCATATATTGGACATAATAGTGAATCCCTCTTTATAATTTGTGAGAACCTGTAAAATATATATATATAATAATTATTCATACTACATATTAATTATTTATTAATATGAAATTTTCTTATGTAAATATTTATCGTAAAGATTTATATGTTATTAAATCCTAAGCTAGTATGAGATTATCCCTTTAGTTGAAAGATGAAATTATTCTTGTTATCCACGTGTAGAGACTTAGAATTTGTTTTAATCAAATCATCATTGCCATGCCCAGGGGCGGAGTTAGAATTGGGGGGAGGCGGGAGGAGGAGGAAAATATAAGTATATAAAACACCTAAGTATTTAATACTTACATGTTTAGAGCTAAATATTTTTAATTGAGTAATGTCTAATTTGTTTTAGAGTAAATTTTAACTTAAATTCTAAGTTGTTTATTACAAATTTTATATAGTATATATAATATAATAGATGAGTGATAAAAATATAGGGGGGCCAGGGCCACTCCAGGTCTAGGAGTGGCTCCGCCACTGGCCATGCCACCTTGCATGCTAGTAACAAGTGATGTTGTGATATAATTGGCCAAAGGTGGATGACTCACATTATTCCATCTTTTTATCTTATCTTTTAGAGGTGGTGTTGTGATATCATTGGCCAAAGGAGGATGAGTCATATTATTCCCTTACTTTTCTATCTTATCTTTTGGTGGTTTAAAATATTGTATTTATAAATATTATTTGGGTGCATCCATAGCCTCTCCTATAAGTATCATGCTTCCATACTTCAATTATTCATTCCAATCCTTTAAGATAGATTTCTACCATGAAGTAGTGTTAGAGAGAGAGAGAGAGAGAGAGATAGAGAGAGAGAGAGAGAGAGAGAAACAAGATGAAAAGTGTGTGTGGTTATATTTATCATGGTGAGTGGTTATATAATATGTTCTTAAAGTTCTTATTTTGTGATAAATGTGAAAATCATAAGTTTATTCTATTTACAAACCTCTCTCTCTATTTTCAAGTCAAGCATGTCTAATTTGTGCAATATTTCACACAATATATATTATTTGGAGTTTTTGTGAAGTATGTATTATTCATGGAACATGAGAACTTCAGTTACGGGGTATCCGAAGGATAAATGTACCATACGGGGACATAGGGTAGTGAGACCAATAGGGGTCACGTACTGGGTACAATTTGTGAAGGATAGCCAAGATATGAAGTAATGGTGTGATATGATTTGGATTATGTATCTTTTTATTATATTTTTATAAAGTGTGTAAAATAACATTGCTTAACTGACATATTACATAATAATATACTTACTGAGCGGTGGTTTGCTCATTCCTTATCTATTTTGTTTTTCAGATCAATTAGTGGGTAAAACAAAGCCGAAACCAGAGAAGTTGGATTAGTTTATAGTGATAAACTTTTATTTTTATATTGTACACTTGTAAGATTATTATAATAATTATATATATATAAATATAATGGTTGTAGAGGCTTTTTCGTTCCGGCAACTACTGATGGGCATGGGCTGCTGTAAAGAGCCAAATGTATGAATTGCCCATTGAGTTTGAGTTCGATGATCAAACCCTAAGAATGTTTCGAAATGGTAGCTGAGCCTTAGGAAACACCTTGGTCTTCTTCACCAATGAAACCAACAGTTGCTTACAAATAAATTCTTGGCTTGGCATGAGAGGATTGTGGCATGGGAGTTGAGCATTTATGAGTTTAGCATGCGAGAGAAAGAGTTGTGATTTCCTATGAGAAACAGAGGTTTAAAGCAAGGGGAAGGGATTTTTAATGGGATTCATTGGAGAGAGAGAGAGAGAGAGAGAGAGAGAGAGAGAGAGAGAGAGAGAGAGAGAGAGAGAGAAGTGGGTGGTTTGAGCAATTTTCCTGCAGCCTGACAAGAGATGAGAAGTGGGTGGTTTGAGCAATTTTCCTGCAGCCTGACAAAAGCTTGGTCAAACTCTGGAATGACTTGCTAGAGGAGAAAATGGGAGAAGATAGAGGAATAAGGCTTGAAATTGCAGAGGTTTAAGGGATGAAAGATGAAGCTTGCTCTCTGGATGTGGGTTGCTTGCCATTTTTTTTTGAGTTGTTTTGTTGGGTAGGAGGTGTCTTCCTTTTATAGGCGATGAAAGCTCTTTTTTCCCAAGAAAATCCTAGTTGGTTCTCTCCAATTTTGCCAAGTTTTCTCCTCCATTTCTCTCATCTTCCTTCAATTCAACCTCTTTTGTGAAACCTTCCTCTGTCCAAACACACAAAGACAAGATTTTTTGGGAGCTTTAAAGCCTTCCCGCAGCTGCTTCAGTGTTAAACTCCTATTTTTGGGTACTACCTCACTTTCTTTCCTCCATTATTTGATGGCAAGAGTTGGTAGGAGAAATGAGTGGGTAATGACGCTGGTCTAAAAGGTGTTTTGCTCAAGTATATCCTTTGGTTTTTTGGATAGCTTGTGTTGGGATTTGTCTTTAGCCATGTGCTAGAGATTCCTAGCAGCCTGTATACATAGGCAACCTTTGGCTTTTGTCGTTGGTTTGGTCTCCAGCTATGTGCTTGAGACTCTCAAATATTTTATAGTTCATTTGGGCCATTCTAAGGTGATGGGTTAACCTATTAAAGGAATGGGCTAATTTCCTAGAGTATTGGGCTATTTTCTCTCATTTATGCTTACCCACATATTTGGGCTCAAGAAATGGGCTTGAGTTTCGGGGCTTCCAAGTAGCCCAAAACTTGCATGACTTGTTTCTTATTTGCTTGGTTTGGCAAGTGTGCAAGCGTATATGACGAACTCTTGTGTACCAAAGTTGGGTTTCTTCCCAAATTAGGTGTCATATTGGGCTAGAAATATATTTGGGTCCAACCTTGGATTTTTTGGGCCTCAACAATGGTAATGTATTTTAACCAAATTTTCAGTCTTTTTATTTATTTCTTTCAATTCACTCACCTTGATTCTAGAATATTCTTTATTTCTAAAACGGGGCATGACATAATTCCTGTAACAGTAGACAATATCTTAACCAAAATTACATGTTCAAAACTTCTAGAGCTACTGCTTATGAGGTTCAAGATACCAAGGGCAAGGTAGGTTTCAAGTACAAGCAAACAAAAATAACTTAGGAATTGGATAAGGAGTAAGGTTAGAATCAAGGTTTTTCTAACTCCTCTCCAAATTTTAACTTTGGAGCTCAAGAGCTTATTTAGAGATCGTATTGGAGATTCATTACTCCTATTAGCTCCTAATCATTATAACTACCTCCTAACTAAGGGACATGGTTGGTTGTAGTCGAAATTTTATAAAGAGCTCATACCATAATTTTATAGTTTTTTGAACTAAAACTTAACTTTAAAATAGAGATCATAATTAGAGATACTCATAAAGTTTTTAACTTTTAATCGTCGAACCATCGTGGGCGCTACCCTCCATCACCCTATTAAAAACAACATAACAAAATATAAGTTAGAAATTTTATATATATTATCCCACATCTCCAATTGATAGTGAACTTATTATATTGAGAAACTCGTTAGATAACATGTTTGGAGATCAAATTAAGTTCAGGTTGAACCTCCAACCTATCCAACCCACCTAACATATTATAATTGGATCTAAAGTAAAGCACAAATCAATCAAAACAAAAACATTTGTACCAATTCATCTATAAATATAAATCCCAAACTTAAAAATAAAATAAAATAAAATTCATTATCTAGGAAACTTTCAAAATTCCAATAAAATATTATTCCTTTCTTCTTCCCCATTGGGTCACCACCTTCTTGATCCAATAGTTTCTATGGGCCAATAATGCTAATCGGTCCAAAGTCACTGTTGTCACACAAAATCACAACCCAACAGGCTCAACCATGAAAACCCAGTCTCTGTCCATTGACGATAAGTTAAAAATGAAAACAGTCCAACTTTATTCCGAAAAATCCTAACCCATCTTTCATAACCTATCAAAATCCCTTTTGCCCTCAGTTTTTTCTTCTTTATTCCCACTTTGCCTTCGTCGCCCTACTTTCTCCAGATTCTCAATTCATCACTCTCTGAAGGTCTGACCGCTCCACCATCCCGACATATCTTCTTGCTTATATTAGATCTCGGCACAGCAGCCTGAGAAACACCCCCAGCTGATCATCTATGACGCTAGGTTCAGGAGGATCGGGTGTCGTGGGTGAGTCTTTCATTACCCATGTCCTCGTTTGATCAAATTTTTCTTTGATCTTGTTGTTTTCATGCAGTCTGCAAATGGGTTTTTATTGATTTTGTGGTTTATGAGTTTTTATATATATGATATCACATGTTGGTAGGTAAGTTTGGCCTTTAGTTGAATAAATTATTGCTTTTGAAGCTGGTATTTTGTATTTTTTTTCCTGTTCATAACTTGTGTTATTGGAATCAAATTGAGCTCATTTCTGATTAAATTTTTACTTGCATAGTATTACAAGTTGGAAATGTAAGATTACGTTTTTGGTTGTCTCTGTACAGAGTGCATTTATGGGGGAATAAGTCAAAGATTGTTTTTTCTTTTCTTCCAGTGATTTGTGTTTCATTAGATAAATACCTTCCTGAGCCTTATTCGATGATGGTTCCTGTTTTGTTCTTTCTCTTCATTGTTTATTAACCAATGTATGTTTAATTAGAACTTTTTTTTTCTACTGATTCTCCATTGAATGGCGTACTAAAGAGACTGTTTCAAATCTGCCAACCAAGCATGATTTCGTCTGTCTACATGCAAGTTTCTGGTTATGTTTGTGTGTATTCAGAGAACTGTGAATAAAAGAAATATATAATTCAGAACTATCGGGGGTTGTTGCTTATTTTGTCTGCAAGATTCTATTTATGTTCCTTCATATTGTCAAGCATGCACGCATGAATTTCCTTGCAGTCCCACGAAACTTCAGATTGCTGGAGGAACTTGAACGTGGAGAGAAAGGTATTGGGGATGGCACTGTCAGCTATGGAATGGATGACGGAGATGACATCTACATGCGTTCTTGGACTGGTACCATCATTGGTCCCCACAATGTAAATTTCTCTTTTTTTTAGATTATGTCATGTTCTCGTTTAAGATTTGTTTTGTCAGATTACTTGTTTCATGCTTTCTTATCAGGAAAAAATATGTGTTGCATTTGTGGTCTCTCCCGAATTTGTAGATCACTCCATTTAAACTTTATGGAATTAGTCCATGCTTAGACCCTAAGGGTTTGTTTGATAGGGAGGAGTAGACTAGACTAGCAAAATGCCTACATTTTGTATGCATCTAAGGCATAATATGGATATGTTGTTTAACTTGGAGGAAGAATGGGGACTATGTATAAGAGGTTGATGACTAAAACTTATCCCCATGAAAATGGTGGGATTTTGAGTGATAAGTTTTAGTCATTACCCTTCTATGAATATTTCTCCCTCATCCTCTAAGTTAGACAACAATATTCATATTATGCCTTGATTGCACATGAAAGATAGCCACTTTTAGTCTAATCCTCCCTAACAAACAATGCCTAAAAGGACTAAAGGTTGACATTGTGGAAAGCTTACTAGATCCTACCAAATAATTTGATCAGCATTGGCTGAGCTAACTAATATTTGCTCATCCTTAAGCAAATTCTAAGTACGAATTATGTTGTCTTACTTTACTTTTGATATTTATGATGTACTGGGTTTTTAGAAGTGATGTAAGACCTGCTTAAAAACTTATGGTACTTGTTCAGTCTGTCTTTATAATTATCTACTTTGAAAAGGAAGGGAAACTGTATGGGAGTCGGGGTTGGAGGTTCTTAAAATCTCTTGAATAAAAGGAAGAAGCTTTAGTTTTCCAACCTTTCAAACATACCCTAGAATCTTTTGGTGCTCAATTCTTTCTTTATTCCTCCTCAAAGAATCTGTTTGGGATTAATTGATTCTTGTCTCCTGCTTGTTACTTTAGCGTTGTTCAGGCAATGTTTTCTTATCAAGTGTTATTAAGCTTACGGAAGTGATGAGAATGTTTCATGCTTTTTGCATATATTTTTTGTATAATGCAATAATGTTCTTTTTATTGTGTCCAGACCGTACATGAAGGACGAATCTATCAGTTGAAGCTGTTCTGTGATAAAGATTACCCTGAGAAGCCACCAAGTGTTCATTTTCATTCACGGATTAACATGACTTGTGTTAACCATGAAACTGGAGTGGTATGATTATAATTTCATTAGATGATTTTTAATGCAGTTGTTTTGTAGTATGCATTTTTTTTCCCTCGCTGCAGTTAGTGTTTTGCACTTAGCATTATTCAGACCCATTTCTGGTGGTCTAACAACCTCCCCCTTTTCACAAACAGAAGAGTAGAGAGAGGCGTTAGGTGTAGGGAGCATTTTTGCTCATCACTGAACCCAATTTGTACGCCACCCTTCTCAAATTTTTGACATATGTCCATGCTTGTAACCATATTTTACCCTTGGACTTTTAAATCTTTTTAAGTATAACATTTATTTATATAAAAAAAACACTCTCTCCCCTTCTCTTCGCCCTTCCTGACCCACCCGCACCAGCCACCTCGCTCAGCAACCCCAGCCACCTCCTCCACCTCGCTCAACCTCAACCACTCACCCCCCACAACCACCACCAACACCGACAAGACCCACGAAAAAGGCACATTCAATTGTCTTATTTTCTTCAATTCTTGCTACCTATATCCAATCAGCCACTCAAAATACGAACCAACCCTCTAGCTCTCCCTTCCTGACCTACCCCCCAAAATCAAACTTGACAAATTAGCCATAACCGACATTCAGAATCCGCAATTCCCACCCAAAATAAAACACATCCAAGACTGGAAACAAAACAAGCATGAAAAAGTAACGATATCCAAATCAAAGATAAAACAAATTCACCATAAGAAAAATGCAGTGACTAAAAACTAAGCCCAAAAATTCCAGATCTCAACCAAACAAATACCATTGACCCAAAGCCAAATTGAACAAAGTTTTCGTGGGTTTTCCCCCAGTTCATAAAAAAATCAAAATTTTAAAAACCCATGATTTCTTGTTGGGACAAGCCCGAAATTTCAGTAAGTTTTACAAGGATTTAATTCTGGTTTTACATTGGAGGGTGTGAGGTTGTTGTTGGGAGTAGACTTCGTTGGGTGGGGCTGAGGGTGATTGCTGGGGAATGGTGGCTAGGGTTGGGTGGCTGATGGGGGGTGGGGTCGGGAAGGGGAGAGAGTTTTTAAAAAAAAATGTTATTTTACTATTATTTTACTTTATTTTTCAGTTTTAAGTACTTAAAAAGATTTAAAGTAAAAGGGTTAACTATGGTTACAAGCATGGACAATTGTTAATTTTGGGAAGGGTGGTGAGGGTACACATTAGGTTAAAGTGGTGAGCAAAAATGCTCCCGTTAGGTGTATGCATTAGATAAGGTATATTTGTCTTTTGTTTCATTGCAAAGAAACCAAGGTATTGTATAGTCTTTTACCACAACTATCACAAACAATTCCAGGATTGTCCCTCATTCTTAATTCTTTAATGATATTGGTGTTGATTATAAGAACATTGATGGCCCCGACCAGACAGCTTTTGGACCAGGTGTATGACTATCGAAAATTCAGTCCACTTGGTTATTTTTAGTGATATTTTTGACAGTATCTCACACATCCAATTGAATAGGTGGAACCGAAGAAGTTTGGACCTCTTGCGAACTGGCAGCGTGAGTACACCATGGAGGATATACTTACACAGCTGAAAAAGGAGATGGCATCCCCACATAACCGGAAGTTGGTCCAGCCTCCAGAAGGTACCTACTTCTAGCTTTCAAGACCGTATAGATATCATGGAACCAATTGCATATGCAATATGCAATATATAGTTTGTAACGTCCGTGTTGCTGATCCTATGTTAAGATCATGCAGGGGAGTGCCCCAAAAAAGTTTCTCTTGTTACCTCTCCGTGGCTTCAACTTTGTTTTGTTTTCTTCTTTTTTCGAACTGTGTTCAAGGGATGCTGTTTGATTAATGGGATTTTATGTGTGTCCAATATTTAACATACCCTTTTAAGTGGACTCTTCTACCCTGCTCTGTGTATATACTTCTTCTATCCTCTTATTGTTCTAGTTTTTCGTTTGTTGCCATTTTTGTCAATTATATTGTGAGTGGGAGAGTAAACCAAACTCCGAGTTCCCCGAAAATTGTGATTGTAAGCAAAACAGCCACAGCAATCGCAATGACAGTTGAAGCATGTTTCACCATCTGGATATTCAATCACTCATTGTGGCAGTAAAATCGACTGTAAATTGTGTATGTTTTCGGTTCATTTTCATTGGAAGTAAATCATTTGTGATGTCGAGCACCATTTGGATCTCAAGATGACTGAGGTCCGTTTAACCATCGACCATGATCCTGTTGGTACAGAATTATGAATTCTCTGTCGAAATGTGTAATTACTGTAGATTTTAGTTTGAGTATGAGTTGGTTAGCATTCCTCAATTGTAACTTGTAGATGATTCGTTTAACAATTTGCTTGGTTACTGCCTTGCAGATGCTTTGCCCAATTTTAAGTTTTATTTCTTACAAAAAGAATGTTAAAAGCCAAATAAATTGACAAGGGGAACGCCAAATTTCTCGCTTTCAATATCGCCAACTGGGTGTTTGCTGCCAAATTTCTCACTTTCAATATCACCAACCAGAAATGGGTTTTGGAATTATTAAGAATGTTTATTAAAGTATTTCAATTATTTCAATTCTTGACTTACTCTGCATTTGCTAAAACTTATAGATATATATGTATTACATACAAAAATTTGTAACAAGGTACTTTAAAATTTATGGATTAGATAGATTAGGGGGTTCGTTGATCCCGTATTCATTTCATAATGAGGGGTTTTCTAATAGCTGTCCGATCTAGTGCAGGGTTATTAATTTAGGATTGATGGATTGAACCCCCTCATTGTAATACCTCAACATAGCAGTTCTCTGGATATTATGGATGAGTCATTGCTGGGTCAGCAGCACCGCATCGAGTCGGGTTTTGTGGCGAAGGAGAATGCATGGGCGGCAAAATGAGAAAAAGTGGGTGACCTAACTTGGCAACTTGTTTGCTTGGAACTATTTGTACTATTATCTTTTGGCTTTTGCTTGGACATATTTTTGGCCGCTATTGTCATTTTCATGACTGGTAATCAAAAGCTCAACGTCTCAAAACACTACGCAAACAAACAATAGCACATGGCTTTCACATTTCTGTAAAGCTCACTGCCGACGTTCGTTGTATGCAATTTAGTTTCTAAACACATGTTTTTGGCATTGATCAACACGCTGCTGACTTGTCAAAGTCAATCCCTCCCTTCCCCTTTTTTGTTCTACATTAATGTTTGAAAAGAAATCGACCTCGAGTTCTCGTTAAAACAAGCATTGTTAACAAATAAAGAAATCAACCTCCGTCTTTTCTTGACCCTAGCATGTATTCAGGTTATTTAGTCTCAATAACAACCACTTACTTCCCATTGGGTTTTTTTCTTTATTGCGACACCATCTACATCATCAAGCACCTAAGTTCTTACATCTTTGGTAAAATAATTCACGAGCATGGTTTCAATTATTCTCTTCGTACTACTTTTAACCTTCTTTGATTACTCAACTGCGTCAATTGAGTGTTTCCAATCTCGCATATGCATAATGTTAGTAGTATAATTGAAGACTAATTTTATTATCCTCGGAGCAATGGTGGAACTCGTCGAACAAATAATGACATGGAGAAATATTCACCACGTTCTATTTTGGGATCTCCATGATCTTGAAGAAATATTCAAAAACAAAATTCTCATGACACAATAAATATTGTCAATATCCTCAAGTTAAAATTGATGAGGCCGACTTCGAGCGAATCTTCAAACACACATTATAGTTGCCGAGTCTTCGAAATGCAGGAGTTAATTCATCCAATTACCTTATCATTTTTATCACATACAGTTCGATTTGTATACTCGCCATGTTAAAAAGAAGTCTCAAATTTAATGGATAATAAACAAAAGTCTAAATATAATAAAAACAACTTTTATATAGCAACCAAACCTAATTCGAATAGCAAATATAAAAGGAAAATCTTCTTCTTCTTTTTTTGTTGAAAAAAGAAAATCTTAATCTAAAAAGGAAAGCAAATCAAACCAGAAGGGAAATCGAAAAGAACCCACTAATGTAGTCTCCCAAGAAAGGCCTAGATTCGAGTCATAGTATCTGTTTAGTAGGTATAAATTTAGTATATTATCGTCCATCATAATAGGAAATGCCCTAAAAGAAAACAAAACAAATTTGACTAATAAAGGATGAGAAATTATTGTTATGACCCAAGAAATGCCCCTAGATCACCGCAAAACTGCGAGTCAAATTTTGTATTTAAGCGCACGTCAATCTCACGGTGGTCAATGCGGTCATGAGCACAACGACGAGCCAAAACACGACAGCCACCATTGTTTTCAGGGGCTCCACCACTTCCCCAAGTTTAGCTAAATTTTAGTTAACACAAATCTACAAAAACACAAATTAAGGAAATTAACAAATCAACAACAACACCAAATTTTATAATAGTATCTCGCAACAAATCCAAAAAAATTTAAAGTAACAAAAATAATAATGAACGCTTGCCCCACACGTCTTGCGTCTATCTCCTCTTTCCATCGATTCTGTATAAAACTGCCCCCTTTTTTCTTGTTCGTCTTTCAAAATCATCCATCAAACCCTAACCAAATTCACCATCATATTCGTCTTATTTGTTTTAAATTTCGTAACAAGCAATCGTCGATTCGGATCCGATTCAATCTGATCTGGACGACCTTATGCTATGTCTTTACCCGACCCGGCACAGCGCCCTCTGCCCCTAGGCATCCTGACCCGGTCGGTCTGGTCCGATAACCTCGACTCCGAGTTCGAACTGATCCGGTCCGTCATCGACGATTACCCGCTGATTTCAATGGACACCGAGTTTCCGGGCGTCGTTGTCCGACCCGACCCCAATGACCCGACTCTCCGGCACCGGGAACCCGACGCGCACTACCTCATGCTCAAGGCCAACGTCGATCGTCTTAATCTGATTCAAGTCGGCCTCACGCTCTCGGACGACAATGGCAATTTGCCGAATTTGGGCACCGAGAATATGTATATTTGGGAATTCAATTTCCGGGACTTCGACGTGGCGCGAGACCCCCACGCGCACGACTCGGTGGAGTTGCTTCGGCGGCAGGGGATCGATTTCGACCGGAACCGGGATTTCGGGGTCGACTCAGTCCGTTTCGCCGAGCTGATGATGTCATCGGGGCTAGTCTGCAACAGCGAAGTAAATTGGGTCACGTTCCATAGCGCTTACGATTTTGGGTACCTAGTCAAGGTGTTGACTCAGCGAGTCTTGCCGGAAAAGCTGCCCGAGTTCTTAAATTATGTGAGGGTGTTTTTCGGGTCTGGAGTTTACGACGTGAAGCACCTGACGAAGTTCTGTGCCGGCCTATATGGTGGGTTGGACCGGATCTGCCAGACCCTGAAGGTGAGTCGGGTTATCGGGAAGACCCACCAGGCCGGATCGGATAGCTTGTTGACCTTGCACGCATTCCAGAGGATCAGAAAGGACTACTTTTCCAAGGATGGCAAGGACTTCATTGAGAAGTTCGCCGGCGTTTTGTATGGTCTGGAGGTTTCTTGATATTTCCATTGAAATCTATTGCTCATAGATTTCTTTCTTTCTCAAGTAAATTTTGTACACATGACTTGGCTTTATCAATATCATTAGTAGGTTTTATTAAATTCTTTGCAGCTCTTGCTTGTGCATTTCATTCCACTTCTTCCCATTCTGTTTCTTCTTTCTGGACTCTCATCTACTTTTTATTTTCCATATTTGTTTGTGAATATAATTGGTGCGTTTGGAGGCCTGTAGAGTTAGGAACATTGGAGATGTTTGGAAGAGGACTTAATCATTGGAGTGTGACTGTCCAGTTTGGTCTCTTTGTGTGGAATTTAATGAGTTTTTTTAGAGTGTATACAAGTAATTACCAAATAAGTTGGATTATCTTGGTATATAAAAACAGAGAGACAGTTCATACTTTTCAAAATTCTTCTTCAGGTCATTGTCATAGGAATGTGTAGACCCCGGTTGTTGTCACTTTGCAAGCTGATTGAATTCTGCAAGAAGCTTTAACTTATTTGATAAGATAATCAAGAATTGAATATGACGATCAAACCAGAATTACACATGATAAGCTCCTTCCTCCAATGTTGAAGAACATATTACTTTGAAGATGAATATGTAATATCTAGGTTCTTGCGTTCTTGGTAATGTGAGCTTACCACATAAACTTTTTAATACCTGTCCTCTCTATGCTAAAGAAAGAGGAAACAATCGAATAAATGCAAATGAACTGTTTCTTTCTTACTAGTTTTAGTTGGGGCATCAATTGTTGTTAGTAGGGCACCAGTTAATGAAGTCAATCAACGTAGTGTGACATTCTATGTTTCAGGAGTGTGCGGTCTCTACCAACTATTGACTTTACTAGCAACCTGTTTGTCTCCCTCAATGATCAAACCTAGTCAACCTTATGGTTTCTATCAAAGCTAAAAGACTACCAAGCAGCCTTTTAGCCTCTCTTCACAATATAAATGTAATATTTAGGACTTGCAATCCTTATGGACCACAGCATGTACTGTCAATTTCTTTGTTAGTTATATGCTTCTTCAGTATGGCCAATACCATTATCACCCTTGCTCTTTCCTTCCAGTTGCATATTGGCTTCCAAAACTACTGGAAGATGAATAATCATTTTGTGTCAATAAATCCCACAAGTGCCATACAAATGGACTTGTCCCCTTACCATAGCTTTCAATTATTATTTCTGGTACTAATCTAGGTCATCCAATCTGAGATGCATTACTTTAATATTAATAATGACTCCTTTAACAATTTATCCGTTAATGTAGTGAGAGCGAGAGTTCCAGATTCGTGGCAGAAGCGGAAATAGTAGTGAAAGCGAGAGTTCCCATTATGGAAACAGTGAAAGAGAGAGTTCTATTCTGTAAAGTAACTTAAATGATAGTGATTTAAAACTGTTTGTTGATTGATCACCTTACCAGGGGTATTGCATTAGTTATCAGGCAATACAAGTTCTAATCTGATTTTATTGTGACTACTAAAATGGCTATGTAAGTTGAGTGATTTTTGCATAAGGTGACCTGCTGGCCATTATAATATGAGGTTTATTTTGCACCAGCACTTGCCAAATGGAAGGTGGGGAACATTCTTGTCAAACTGCAATGGGGGCAGATGAAGGCTATTCATTAAAGTTTCTACCAGCCAATTCTTCATTATCATCATCATCATCTTCTGTTATATACTAATGAAAGTGTATCATGTATTGCAGGTTAAAAGCCAGTATACAGGAACAAACCACTCTTATAGTTTGTTAAACTTCAGTGCAGGTTCAAAGCTGTTATATCCAACAACTAAAGCGAGTAATTAGTTTGCCACTTAATACCTTTTTTTATTCTCCTTATTTTACAATACCAGTAGCTGCTGCTCTCCAGAAAAATCAGGTTGTGGCATCATGAACTGGTCTTGAAATTTCATCTGTATCAGTAGTAGTTGAGAGTTTAACTTCCATGAAACATGCCTTCTGAATTATGTGGTCATCAGCATGAGAAGTTAAGACCATGTCTTGTGTTGTGACTCATGATTTTAATGTCTGCTAAAATATCGTTGCTTCCCTATGCTGCCCAACTCATCAATTTTTATAATTCTAAATGCAGCTAAAATAAAATTTTCTGTATAGCTCCCAATCCTTCTTATCAGCTTCTAAGAATGATAGGTTTAGGATTGTGTCAATTTTCTTTGATTTTCTGGGGCCTTTTGGTTTCGAATTAATACTAGAACTGAACCTTTTCCTTAGGTACCCCCCCTTGTTATATGTATATATGTTTGCAATATATATGCATCCTTTTGTTGATAATCAAAACAATAAAAATTGAACATGAAGTTGACATTGTGGACTTGCCTGGTTTTTGCAGGATCAACAGCTCTTGAAGGCATTTGACATACGTTGTATAATTTATTTTTGATCTATAGACACATGCGCCTGTGACTGCGCATGGAGGCAATCCATATATGCATGTGTATACGTGTGAGATTTTGTTACCATGTTTTTGTTTTTCATTTTCACCTTCTATCGTGGGGCTTGCAGTAGAAGAAACGGGTTGAATTTTTTTTTGGGCATGACGTCTGCTTAGGCAGTGATTGCATTTTAATTTAAAGCTTACCTTTTCATCCCTGATCCCCATAGTGGTTATCTTCCATTTGGGTGTATTGGTTAGAAGTTTGGAAATGTGCTCTTATATCAGGTCATTTAATCTGTAGTCAACATCGTTTTAGTTTTTGGTGGGAATTTCAATGGAGATTTGTAAGTTTTAGCTGTCACCTGTGGTTCATCTGAAGCATAAATTTAGTCCAGATATAATCTGCTTGCTTTCTGTATCCTTCTTACAGAGTTATGGTTCTTCGATGTCCTTGACACGTCTTCTGTGGATATCTTGAAGTCTGGCCATTTTGAATTCTCTTCACATCAGGTTCGTGTCTGTGACTTATAAACTTTATTTTTGTTTTCTTCAATCAAACATTGATTCTAGGGTAAACGATGGTGGGCCTTCTTGCACCCTTGGAATCCTTCACCCTAGATTTGATCTTATGCTTCTTAGTAGATTACTTAATTATGAAAACCGTAAGCACTTTTACCAAAAATGGAAAGATTAACAATTGGCAGCAGTTTTGAGAATTACAAAAACCATTGCGTTAATTACTTATTTTCATATCTGTGGGGTTTTCTATTGTTCTTCTGATCAGAAGTTCAGGTTTTGTTATAATTCAAACCATTTCTAGTGGATTTGATTGGGTTTTGTTATTACTTAGAATCAGATTCGTTTGGGTAGAGTCTTTTGCTTTTTAGTACCCATAAATTAAATTTGTACTGTTTTCCAGAGCCATTAGGCCTTTAAGATGGAAAGTGATCCTCTCCACCTCTACCTCAAATGAGAAGGATCAGTTCTCTAATCTGGACCATCACATGTTTCTGGCCCCATTGAATTGGGGCCGCAATCCTTGTGGATCTATCTTTGGTTTTCAACTGGCCTTGTCCATTTGCATAGGAAATGTATCCCATCAAGAAAAATTTGCATTGTAATTGTCAAATCAATTAAGTTGGAAAAGAATCTCCACTGGCTTTCTCCATTGTGTGGGACCAGTTGCACAATTTGAAGGTGAACCACCACTTGGTGCTGGCCCGTTGAATTCGGATGTGTCACATGGGGATCTGTTGTTTGGATTCAACTGGCTTTCTCCATTTGTGTGGAAATGCAGAGGAGTTGGATCCCATCAAGAAAAATATACATTCTTCTAATTGATCTTTCCATCCCATGTATGTTTTTGTATCTGTGTGCAGTGTGACTATGTTGGTTACTGTGGTCTTTGCTGATCATTGATAATATCCATTCTGGTTGCTAACTGAGTCCTGCTAGCGATCGCATGCAACGCAGGTACTGGATAATATTAGTGCCTGGTATATCTGGTGCACTTAAAAGTGTTTGTACAGCCAAGTTTCATGCTTATTTGTTTTACAAATTTATAAATAAACCCAATCCTAGACATATATTTATAAAAAAACCCAAGCACTATTTAAACATAGAAACACACCCAAAATCAACCCCAAAATCAACAATTGTATATTTTTTGGGTGTGTTTATAAATGGGTTTTGAGTGTGTGTAATGATGAGTTTTGGGTGTGTTTATAAAGTGTTTTGGGTGTTGGGTTTTTTTATAATTTCAGTCCCCATTTTGGGTGTTTTAGTGAAACTCCCTATTTGTTTCTCAGCAGCTACATGCTTTGTCATCTGGAAATGCAAGTGAGCAAAGGTTGAAAAATGATTGATAACATGGTAGTAATAATACACATCCCAAAATTGTGCATGTGCTGCAGAGATTACAGTAACCCGGACCCTCTCTTCTAAAAGGGGAAAGATTTCTGCGGACTGTCACTGATTGTCATGGTAGGTTAGCAGTATTCGATTTAGGTAAACGGGATATACTTTTACCGGAGCTTGTCGAATTTGCTGTACTTTTGGGTTTGGCATATTGGAAGACATGGTTATTTTAATCCCAAGTTCGGGTTAGCCGGGTTAGACTTGTAGCAGGGTTTTTGCTCCTGTGGCATGAAGCCTAACTGAAATGTTTTGCTTCCGTGGCACTTATGTTGACTTTCAGAAAGAAAGAAAAAGAAATAGAAAAAGTTGGAGCCACATGTGGGCTGGCCGGGAATAAAATGGGGGGATGAGGGTGGTTGGTCTATGTCATTGTGGGTCAACAATTGCCCAATGTTGATGGCAATGTTGCACTACACTAATTCAGTGTTGATGGCAATGTTGCACTACACCAATTCAAGGTGGGGCTGCAGTTGATATTATCTAAAATGTTTTTGATCAACGTACGAGGCAGTTGTGGCACTTGGTACTAGTGTTCTATTGTATTTGATATTTGATTAATGATCCTATCTCGCCACTTTCCAGATTAGACAAAAGCTGGAATTAAATGGATGAGACTAGTTGTGAAAAAAGATGTTTGGCTGCGCTGTGGATCCTTTCTCTGAAGTACCATTCATGATCATGATCAAAGGAGAGGTGATGTAGTACAGCCCGTAGCTATTAGATTAAGCACTTAAACAATAGAACAGATAAGAATATGAGAGATTGAAGAGAAGAAAATATAAATCGAGAAGAAGAAAATATAGATCGAATGGACAAAAGAAATGGCAGAAATCAGAGAGTTCTAGAAAATGTTTACTCAACATTCAAATCTGAATTTTAAAGAATTACATGGGGGTATTTATAATAAACTAAAACCTAGAAATAATAAGGTAAAAATCCCTTAATCAAAAATCTTAACCCAAATAAAATATGAAACTTAAAACTAGAAATAAGGAAATATGGAAAAGTAGAAATCCTATTAGAAACTGGAAAATTAGAGAATTTAGGAAACTAACAAATACGTAAGGAAACTAATAAATTTAGGTCATATGCGTCCAGCATTAGCTACAAATTGTAAATTAACAACAGCAACAACGACTACTAGTATGAATAATAAGGGACTGGGGTCGGTAATTGTTGATGCTTGGATCATAGACACCTTTGAGAGGCTCCACATTCTCACAAAGCTCACCGGCATGAGTGCTGATAGTTAAAGTTCGATGATAACAACAAGAGGCAATATGTCCTTTGACATGACAATGGAAACATTCAATGCGAGCATTAGTGAAAACAACCGGTCATTTGTTAGTGTTAGTGTAGGAGGGTTAGATGGTCCTGAAAACCCCGTTTTCATATCTAAATATTGTGGCGACAAATATGTCTCAGCTTTCAAGGCTTGGCAATAGGCGTCCATCCGGATGTGACCTACTTATCTCGTATTTGAGATCATCCTAGAGGCCATGAATAAAACGAGAAATTGTAACTGCGAGCTCTTCTTGCACGGCATAACCCAATTTGTGCTCCACAAAGCGAGAATAATATTCTTGGACAATAGAAGTACCTTGGGAAAAAGTTCATAATTGATCTAAAAATTAGTGACGATAAAAAGATGGAAGGTATTGTTCTTGGAGTTTCAATTTCATCTCATCCCATAAAATCACAGGGGGTTATCCCAGTTGTTAAATATGGTGCTTAGCAGCCTTCCAGTATTGCTTGGCAACTCCTACTAGTTTGAGTTTGGCAAACTGAATCCGTTGTGCATCGGACATAGCATACCATTCAAAATAATCTTCCATAGTGGATATCCAATCAACAAAAAGAGTAGGATCCCCGCGACCATCGAAGTCGGGAGTTGTAGGCTTGGCATGACGGGCGATCTCAAAATCCAAGTTTTTGTGTACGATGTTATGTTTGTGTGGTCAGAGCGGTGGGGGAGGGATAGTGGAGTCCACCAGAGGAGAACCCATCGTATGTTGGGTATAATGTGGTTTAGGTGTAGATCCCACAGAAAAAATTGGTTCGGACTGAACCATAAACGTCCCCACAGAAGATGATGGAAGGCCCAGGTGGCTTGAGAACTTGGGATCAATAGATGGATTGGGAAGGAGACTAGCCTGTGGAGAAGGTGTGAATGAACCGGATAGAACAGCGAATGTGGAGGATGGCTCAGGAGTCGAGGTTGTGATGTGGTTGACAAGCAACGTCACTGAAGCTTGTAACTAGGCAATGTCTGTGGACATGGACGAAAATTGCATGTAAAAAGGTAACAACCTACAACTTGTTTCTAAACCACACAGTCAATCGAAGCATGCAACAGCTAACTGGATAGGCTATCCTGAAATCTCTTTAGATTTTAGGGAAATTTTGTACTAAATCAAAGTCAAGTTTTCAATAATTATAGGTAAAGCTCAACTTATTGAGTTGAATATTTTTGGGGAGCACAAGACATTGCCCCACCTTGACATAGGACCTTTGCCTCTCTAGTGAATTTTTCTGCTCTCTTTCTCATCCAAAGACAGACATAAAAAGAACATTATGAATGTTTAGTATAAAGAAGTTTGTACATGATGATGATGAAAATTTGATTTAGCCACATATTTTGTGGAAGCAGAGACCATCCTGGCCCCAATGATTGATGCCCTCATGTTCTCCTTTACTATAAAACATTAGTTCTTTATGATTGGTCTATTTCTTTCATTGAGTACTAGAGAAATTATGGTTGAGCCACCACATGCACGATGCACCCACCCACCGTGACTTAGAATCAAAGGAGCAAGGTGCAGCTTCCTAATCTAAGCCAATTCTTTCACAAGGCAAAATCACCTGCAATTTACCTAAAATGCATGTGCACTTGTATTTCTTGTGCGCCTAGGGACAGACCGCAAGCTATAATCTTCGGTCCCCATAAGACAAGGAATGAGGGATAAGGTGGTCCTCCACACAAACCCTACCTCCACATAAAACTTGTTAAAACATTAGTCCTTGAGCGAATACCCCAGTTCTGAACTAGATGCAAAGCATTTTGAGCAATGTTCGGGTCAGTCATCAACACGCAAGTGGGTAGTTACCGGCCGTTGATACATGTGGGATCACAAGCATCAATAGCCGGGAGTCTCCTGCTAGTCCGTGGGCGACTGTCCATGGTAAAATAGTTTGGATTTTGCTTTATATGTGAAGATATGAAGAAACAGCACTTTTCCTGCTCTGCCTAATGTTTAGTCCTTTTAACACTTTGAGTCTGTCAATGTCACTTGATTAGATTAGAATCTAAAAGATGGGGGCTGAGTCACAAGACACTGCGTGAACAAGGTGGGGTATAATTGCGCTGTATATTGTTGTGTTGCTTGGTGTTGGTAAATGATACTCAATCTTATTCCTAATATCTATGAGCTGAGGAGCAGATTCTGAGGTTAAAGCTTTCTGTGGATATGGTTAAAGGACCACCTGGGAATCTACAGAACCAAGATTAAAGCAATGGACCCTTTGATGCATACTGAAAATGGAATTGAGAACTATGCATCACAAAATCGGATCTCCTATCCTCTTTGCTTTTCAATTGTTTTTACGATATAATAAAATCAAGAATCGTGTTATTGTACAAATAATTTAACATGTTACGTTGTTGGACTACATATTCGAATTATTGGTTACATAGAGTTTAAATTCGTATAGGGGCGAAATCACCTTAAACCCACAGGGTCACATGCCGCCTGAATCAAAGTTATCATCCCCACAATTTGTTAATTGAACTTGAAAAATTGGTGTAAATTGTTTTTGGCAATATTCCTTCCTCGTGTACTTGTTGGACAAAATGATTTCTTCCGCCTTTGAATATGTGTTCATATAAACAAACTAGCAACATAACGTCCAAAAAATTATCTACACAATTATATGTTAGTACTATTTGATATAGTACTAGAAAGAGATGGGGATGACGTGTCAAGAAGATCAATAGATGTGAACCCTAGGATTGACTACTAATTGAATCTATGAATTGTATACAAAGATGAGCTTCAAGTTAAAGGATGTGACCTACTTTTGGAGGTTTAGAAGAAACAAAACACGCTAATAAATTGAAGGGTTCACAGAACTCATGCCATGGCAATTGGCAGTTGTTGTCCCTCTCTCTCTCTCTCTCTCTCTCTCTCTCTCTCTCTATGCTGATAGCAGATATCAGAATCCCACCAATCCATGAAATAGGGAAGAGTAATAAATGAGTCTCTCTCAAGGGTCTCAATCTTTCTCTCTGTAATGCTTGGGAGGGCACGTGACTTGGAGTTACATACTTCCACATGATGTTCATCCCCACATGCCTATCAATTTGAATTTCATTTCTTTTCCCTCCAGCTTTAACTAATTATATATATCTTCTTGTTGTGAGGTGTAATTTTTACTTTTAGACAAGCAAACACAGTGTGTGACTGTTCAAAGTAAATACTTTTGATCACTTGAATTATAAATTATTCTTGTCTTTCTTGAAGGTCTGAATAAATGCATTGTGCAAGATATATTTCACTTCCCACCGTCTTAAGCCACTCATAAATGAGGAATGTATGAGATAATTTGAGAGTGATTTTGAAATGACAAAATCATCAACATATAGATTAATAACTTGTTCAGTGTCTCAGCAGTGAGGCTAGCTACTAGAGGGGCAATACGTGACCACTGGTGTAATAACTCCAAAATCATATCAACAAGTTTCAATCTCTCTCTCTCTCTCTCTCTCTCTCTCTCCTTCTCCTTGCCGTATAAAAATCTATCATGCAGAAGAATTGTATAAAATACAAAAATTTCCTAGCCGCCAATTTCCCATATTAGCAGAAGCCAGCCAAAGAGACCTAAAATCTCATTTAAGCAAAATCTTTTCTTGATATTATTGTGATCTACGTGCCTTAAAGTTAATTTTTCTTAAACCAAGAGGAAAGAGAAAATACTGTGGATAGATTATTTTTCTTTCGTTTTCTTCACAATTTTTATTTTATTTTTTTAACTTCAGTTTCCGTCCAAATGCTTTTTCTTTAGGGAAGAAAAAAAAAGCAGATGAAGTGTTGATCTGAAACATCTCACAACTAAGATTGCCCATTGTGCTCCTACAAAACATACAATACAACAAGAGAGAATATCACAAGAGTATTGTGCATATAAAAATAAATCCTATAATCCTTCGAGTATTCGTTAGTTTCAAATTTGGATGAGATAACCAGCCAGATGTCATTTTTGTCTCCACTTCGAAGATACAAAGTTATCTGAAGTAAGATTCTTATGAAAAGAGTGAAAAGGGTTCATTATGAACCTCTCGCTTAAGATAGTGTAAACGTTCTCAAGAGTCAAGACAAAATTTTGGAGATTTTTATCGGATCGTGAAACTAAGTAGGTCATACTATGATTTTAATTTTCTATATAGTTTGGAGAGGTTTTGTTTTAGTCCTTATAGTTTCAATTGTCGTGATTTAACTCGTATAATATATTAATTGTTGTTGTAGTGGAAGGGTAATGGCATGTTTTTTTTCAACAAAATTAGCCCGTGAATGTTGTGTGTGAGGTATTTTACACGTTTAAACATATATCACACATGTATAAATTTCATAATATAAAATATAAAAGAAGGACGAAATGAAGCCATTGTACTAAAATTGGCAGCTCTTGGTAAATCACATTAAATCGCAACAATTGATACTATAAGAACTAAAGTAACTTCACCTAAGTTATAGAGATCAAAATCATATTTTGGCCAATAAGTTATAGAGCTAAGGGAAGGGAATACTTGCAAATATATAAATAAATAAATAAAAAGTATGGGGATAATTGTTGAAATAATTATATACATTCAAACTTTTGTGAGGACATGCAATGTGATAGGTTTGTGGTATTAAAAAAAAGACTTTTTTCTTTTCTTTTGTGTCAATTAAAAAGACTACAGGGAATTTTTTTTATTTTTCCTTCAATATAAGAGATAATCTAAACTACAAAGAGGAAAATGTTTCTCACACACACTACCAATATACTATAAGGATTTAAAATTGAGACAACTGATATGCAAAATCAATTTCTTTTTTCATCGGGCTAGATATGTTGGTAAAATACTGTTAAAGAATTAAAAGCTCTACTTAACACCAGTACTATTATATTCAATGAGCTCAACTGAAAACTTCTACTTTAAAGTTGTTTTAAATACAGAAATATATAGAGAGACATATAATGGAGTAAAAGACCCCACCAGTTTCCTCTCCCAATTCCAACTTCCCCTCCCCAACTCCCATTTTGTTTATATATTTTTTCCTTTGTCTCATTACTATTTTAAATCATCTTCATCCCCCCTACAACCCTCTCTCTGACTGGCCATTAATGCCACACTTCACAGCTCCAAAATTCATTTGAAAGTTTTGAAACCCTCATTTCTCAAAATCTCAGAGAGAGATGGGCAAGAAAATGAAGCTCCCTTTTCTCTCCAAGAACACAGAGGCATCAAGATATTCTTCTTCTTCTTCAACATGGCCTTGGCCTTCTTGCTCCCAACCCAGAACCCTCTCTTTCAGAAGAGGCAATGATATCTTCAAGACCATAAACTCAGCCTACTTTGACACAAGCACCACAGAAGTGATAGAAACACCAGACTCATTCTTCACCAACTCATCTGAGTCATGTCCAAGCTTCTCCACAGCCTCTGAAGACTCAGGTTTGGATCCAGTGGAGACAGTGATCAAAGGGTTGAGGTCAGAGAGGCTCTTCTTTGAGCCTAAGGCAGGTGAAACAAGCTCTATAGTAATGGAGGAGGAGGCTAAGGGAGCAGCAGATGGTGAGGAGCTTAATATTGTTCCATTCAAGGAGAGTGTGGTTTTGTCAATGGACTCTCCAGACCCCATTGTGGATTTTAGGAAATCCATGGAGGAAATGGTGGAGGCTCATGGTTTGAAGGATTGGGATCATCTTGAAGAGCTTTTGTGTTGGTATTTGAGGGTCAATGCGAAAAGCAATCATGGGTATATTGTTGGAGCTTTTGTTGATCTCTTGGTAGGTCTAGCTTTTAGTAGTGGTTCTACTAATTGTTCTTGTAATATTAATTCTCCTTCTTCTCCTTTATCTAATTTTTATAACAGTACTGCTAGTACTTCATCTTTATCATCTTCTTCTATTCCTTGTGTCTCATCAATAGAGCCTGAGGAAGAATCTGAAAGCACTCCTTGTTTGTCTTCATTGTTGGAAGCTGAGGAAGATCAGATTCA